GAAAGCAGTAGAGAGAACTCACACAGTTCCTTTTCCACACCACCCTCCTGCTTGTTTCTGGGCCCCATAATCTCGCTGTCTTTTCTCATTTCCACACTCCTGTGTTCCAAGAGCAAAACCTTCCCATGCACCTGGAGCTCAAAGTCACACTCAGGAGTTCTCCCCACAGCAACAACCTGTCTATTGTTACTAGCTCATCTCCATCAGCCTATATGTACTCCCCTGTGTATCTATCTGTCTGTCTATCTATATGTCTGTCTATCCATCTGCCGTCTATCTAGGACATACATACACATGTTTACTTGATTTTTTCCCCTCAACTGTTATACCATTTTTTCCTCCTCTTTACAGCGTGACCTACTAAGAGTTATCTCCAGCTTCTCTTCCCATTCCCCCCTTAAGTCTCCCCATTAGGCTCCAGTGCTTGACTGAAATTAGTCTATCCAAGTTACTAGTGATTTGCATGTTTATAAAAACTCAATCCTCAGTTCTCTATTTGATTAGTTGGAAGCATTTGACGCAGTCGCTCACTGTCCCCTCCTTAAACACCTTTTTAACCTGACTTGAACACACCACAGCTGACTTCTTGCCTACATCTCTGACTTCTCAGCTTTCTTTGCTACTTCTTCATCACCTTCACCAGCTCCAAATGTCGGAGTGCTGCAGAATTATCCTTTTCATCTACAATTATTCATTTTTTTTAATCGCATTTGGTCTCCTTAAATGTTGTGTAGACAGTTATGGCTCCCAAATTTGTAAGTCCAGTCCAGACCTCACTCCTGAGCTCTAGACAATCTCCTCTGTTTTTGCTTCCAATCTCTCACTCTCTCTGTAAGCCTCAGATCTATGGTCAGCTTATTAGTCTAAACTGAAAAAGAAACTTCTTTAGTGTATCAAGTTCTGTAGGCAAATGGGGCTTCTAAAATAAATCTTAAGTATAGTAAACATGATCTTGCTTTTACTGTAAGGTATTAAAAGTATTTTTCACATAAATTTGCAAAGTGTAAATTTTATCTCAGTTCCTAGACAAATCAACATAGATTCTTAATTAGTGACTTAGTGGAGAATTATTACTAAAGTAATAAGTTACTTCCATGCAAAATAACTAATAAGCTTCCTTGTTTCAAGCAGAGTGATGTCTTGGGAGGTTTACTAATTAAAAAAATAAAAAGGTATTCACCTGCACTCATACACGCAATATACAGTACAAACTAGGTTCTCATTCATAGAGTGAAAGCCAGGCCTTTATCATCTATAATGGTTTCCTAGTCAACCTCTCTTTCTTCCTATATATGTTTTACTTGTTTCCAGGTCAACATTATTAATGCAGACTTCCAGCTATGTTATTACTGTGATCAGAAATCTTCATGGCTGCATTTTTTTCCTATTAAATTAAAGCCAGTTTTATAAAATAGGTATATGAATCATTTCTAGTCTAGTTGCAATCTGCCTTGACTTTATTTTCCCTTATTTTTCTATCCTGCTCTCCAATTAGATGGTTCTAGATGATCTCCCCTGTGTTGCCCCCTCTCCGTCACTCTCTCTTGCTGTAAGCCTCACATCTATGGTCGGCTTACTAGTCTTAACTGAAAAGAAAAGTCTTTAATTAGTATGTCAAGTTCTTTATGCCTATCGGGCTTCAAAAATATATCTTAATTATAGTAAACATGATCTTGCTCTTACTTAGCACCCCCTGTTATATGTTCCAGTTTTACCTTTCCCCATAAAGTTACTGAATCTGGAAGCTTTCTTCAGAGTTCCTATCTAGGCTGGAGCCATAGTGTGATTGCATGGAACATGCTAGTATTATTGATCCCTGTGACCCAGGCTTGAAATTCCTATTGAAAGAATTTGAAGTCATTTTTCTCCTATTTCATATACATTGCTCTGTGGGTTTACATCAACCTGCTAATCAAATAAATATTCCAGCGCTTATTTACATGATTTAGGTTATGTAAGGTTACAAGCAGTGAGGGGAAGAGAGGAAGTGCAGAATGACTGGAGTTCTATTTCTCACTCATGAACTTGTGCTCAGCCCCTTCTCCTTCCAGACCATTTCCTATAGAGCTGGCAGACCATTGCTTAGCAGAAGTCAGAGCCTTACTTCTACTGTTTATCAGCCTGTAGCTTGCACTTTGCCTCTGACTTTCACACATGCATCTCCCTGGTTTGACCACATGGCCCCCAGATTATTTTACTGGCTAACAAATCCCTTAAAAAATGAGCGCTAGTACCACTTCTTCATAAAAGCCTTTCTTGTCACTCCTGCAGTAGAATGTACAGGTGCTTTGCTCTCTGTTCAGGGACATCCAAGTTTACTTCCATCATGACACTCTTTATCCTGGCTTAAAGTGCCTGTTCAGTTTTCATTCTCCCCATTACTAAACTTTAAACATTGAGGACAGTAAGTATGTCTGTCATCTCTATAATCACACTAAGAACAGTGCCCGTATTTGTATCCATTTCTCTTGCCAATAAAATTACCCCGCTACTTCTTTTTCTTGTTCATCCAAGAGTCCCAAAAAGAACGTGGTAGAATTGGATGTAAGTAAAAGCAAAATTTCAAATGTTTCATCTTGTAATTTTACAGTGAGCATTTAAACATTGCAACCATTGTTATTACATCACAAAGAACACATAGCAAAGGCAACTATAGCTTAAAGCTATCAATGACATTATTCACCCTAGCTAAGAAAATGAAATAGAAACAATCTATTATAAGTGGGTATTCACTGAGACCCAAATGTTGGTGCCAATAATCTAGTGAAACAAGTCCTGAATTTTCTGGTCTGGAAAATTGAAGTCATCTAGGCTCCCTGATTTATTTCTGTTTTGGTGACATTGTAGGCCTCAAATATAACAGCATGTCCTTCAGTCATGGCCATCTTGATGTTGTTTCAAACCAATAATGAGGAATGGGTTTTACTGGAATGAGGGAGTTATATCATCGCTGAAAGATCTCTGAAGACTATTAGTGACTTCTTTTCTGAGATGTTCTAAGTGCATATTTATTTGGTGGTAGTCTTTCCAGAGTCCATGCTGTGAAATGCCTATAATCATTGTTTAATCCCAAATATTCTCAAAATAATGAAGGAATCTTCTTCCTACAGTTATACTTTCCTGATCACTAAGGTACCCAACTGAAATTAACCAATTTACTGCTGACCATTTTATTCCCTAGCTTATGGCAGTATGTGTGTTAAAATATCCAAAAGTAAGTCACTCATCAGAAACACAATTGTGTCACTCTTCCCTTATGGTACCTAGGTAATTATCAGTTGATTGATCTGTATGTTTTAACGATTTGGCTTCCTGCTTCTTGAGAAAAAACACAAAACCGTTTTAAGTAGAAGGTAACTGAGACTGCAATGCTTGTTGCAAAATAGAATTCACTTTAAGTAGTATAGTCCCAGTGGGAAGTGCTTACATGAATAATTACCATTACTTCAATTTGCCAAAATGAACAGTTTCATCACATTTAGTGATAGCAGCATCTTCAAATATGATTTACATTTATATCACTAATGAAAATTAGTACATTCTTCACACTTTCTGATTTTTCTATATCCCTCTGTGGCAGCAAACTTTTTACTACTTTTATTTCCATGTGTGAATTACCCAGTAATGCTTGTGACTGGCAGTGGATGAATGTGCTTTGCTGAGCCTAGACTTGCATCTTATTCCTTAAAAAAAAAAAATCTGTTACATTTCACATTTCAAAGTAATTCTTTTCATTCAAAATATGTGTTAAGAATTGTCTAGAGTTTAACATAATGCAGTACTAGTATCTCCAACAAGAAAAGTTCTATTAAAAAAATTCGTGTTGTGGAGGCATCATTGATTGAAAAAAAAAAAAAACTTGAATGGCATTAAATAATAGCTATCATCTCTCTCTGAAAGGTGTGATCCATGCTTTATGTGCATTATTTTCAATGACTGTGATGGAGGATGTATTATTTTTTCCATTTCATTTATGAAAAAAAAAAGAAGCTTAGGCACCAGTAAATTGCCCAAGGGCAATGTTAGTGGGAATCTGGACTGATATTCAAAAACAGGTGTGCCTGAGATCAAAGACTGGACCGCTATTTTGACATAATTAAGAATACAGAGGTGTCACAACTTGCCTGGTGGCTCACATTGTCTTGTCTTGCTAGACCCAGAAAGATGGGCTCTTACCAATCATTTTCCCATCTCACCCACATCAAAACACAAACTGACTGTGCTCTGGTTCATCAGGACTCAGTTGGTATCATCCAGTTGGTAATTTTCCTTTCTTTGACTTCTGGCAGAAGCTCTCTCTAGAGCTAGAGCCAATTGTTTTTCTCTAATGACTTAGAGGGAGGGTAACCTGAGGCCATCCAGAGAACTGTGAGTCTATTTATCATCTTTTCCTTTGTTCCATGGATGATATCCAACATGCTGCTTTGACTGGCCTCATGAGGACAGATATGTTGATTGTTTCTACTCTACAAAGAGCAACACTGTTAACAAGATTTGGCTGTTTTCTATAGTTATAAATGCAATTTTTGAGCAATTATAAAAGTATATGCATACTAATTAAAACTTACCCCTTGCAACAAAAAATATTTATTGAGCTAATATAGTTACAGTAAGATGTAGTGAACAATGAAATTGAGACCTGTTAAAGATGCTGACAACCTCCATAACTTGAAAAGCTGTGGAAACATATAATTAACAGTTCACAATAGAAAAAATTAACATGCCCTTTAACTAGGAAGAAAGATTCAGGGCAAGACCTGGCAAAAGTCTAGCACCTAATCCAGACATTGGAATCTGAAGGTGAGATCACATTCACACATTAAAAAGATTGTTCTAGAAAGAATCCATCCCACTAATTCTTTGCAGAAGTTATAAGCGATGCCTTTTTAAAATAAAAATTAGACTTTCTTTTTCTATAGTGAGAAACAAAGATAAGCACCACTTCCTACCTTTGGCCTCACCTCTCTTGCTTACTTTTTGCCTTTGCTCCTCTTTGCCAGGTTTCTAGCCAACACCACTTTCAGAGGGCTCAGTGGTTCCATCAGAGTAAAAGGTTCGACTATCATCAGCTCAGAAAACAACTTTTTCATCTGGAATCTGCAACATGACCCCATGGGAAATCCAATGTGGACCCGCTTGGGCAGCTGGCAAGATGGGAAGATTGTCATGGACTATGGAATATGGCCAGAGCAGGCCCAGAGGCACAAAACCCACTCCCAGCACCCAAGTAAGCTGCATTTGAGGGTGGTTACCCTGATTGAGCATCCCTTTGTCTTCACAAGAGAAGTAGATGATGAAGGCTTGTGCCCTGCTGGCCAACTCTGTCTAGACCCCATGACTAATGATTCTTCGATATTGGACAGTCTTTTCAGTAGCCTCCACAGCAGTAATGATACGGTGCCCATCCAGTTCAAGAAGTGTTGCTATGGGTATTGCATTGATCTGCTCGAGAAACTAGCAGAAGACATGAACTTTGACTTTGACCTCTATATTGTTGGGGATGGAAAGTATGGAGCCTGGAAAAATGGGCACTGGACTGGACTAGTGGGTGACCTCCTGAGTGGGACAGCACACATGGCGGTCACTTCCTTCAGCATCAATACTGCACGAAGCCAGGTGATCGATTTCACCAGTCCTTTCTTCTCTACCAGCTTGGGCATCTTGGTGAGGACCCGAGACACAGCAGCTCCCATTGGAGCCTTCATGTGGCCACTCCACTGGACAATGTGGCTGGGGATTTTTGTGGCTCTGCACATCACTGCCATCTTCCTCACTCTGTATGAATGGAAGAGCCCCTTCGGTATGACTCCCAAGGGGCGAAACAGAAGCAAAGTCTTCTCCTTCTCTTCAGCCTTGAATGTCTGTTATGCCCTTTTGTTTGGTAGAACATCAGCCATCAAACCCCCAAAATGCTGGACAGGAAGGTTTCTAATGAACCTTTGGGCCATTTTCTGTATGTTTTGCCTTTCTACGTATACTGCTAACTTGGCTGCTGTCATGGTAGGTGAGAAGATCTATGAAGAGCTTTCTGGAATACATGACCCTAAGGTAATGCTTCCTTCTACTCTAGCTTTCTTTTTACCTGTCTGTAATAGCTCTGTGTGTTGTGTCTTGTGCTAGGGTGTCATTGGTCTGTCATCTAACAGAAGAATATTTTCTTAGTCATCTATAGGGACTAGTCCAAAAGTCTTTGAGTTTGCATGGCTGCATTAAATATTTCATTGCTTCATTAAATGAAACAAAAAGAGTGAATGATCTTAGGGAAATGTTCTAGAGAAAGCCTTTTTAGTAGAAACATCTGTCAGTTCAGTTTTTCTTTGTTATATAACAAGATGTCTATCAAAAGAGTCTTGTGAAGTATTTTGACCCAAAGTGGACTTTAACAGTGGGTTAATTACTTATCTTGGGAATTCATGGAAATAAATAGTAGGGTTCATATTTTAAAGAATAAATAAACCCCTTTTTCACTATTAAAAGATAACAAAATGGAAAGAACTAACATCTTATCATCAGTATCCAAAGTCTGATGCCAAAGAACTCAGTGGATGAAGAACAAGGAATGCTGAGATGGGGTGACAGGGTTTGCTAAGAACAAGCTTTTCATACTCACAGATTAAAGAAAGATGTAGCAATGCCAACAGCAACTTTGCAATGTCCGAGCACTTGAAGAAGCCTATGTCTCTTCTAACCTGCTTGTCTAGGAGGTTGATGTCTAGGAAATATTTGACCCTTCCATCTCAGGGCAGAAGGGAGAGTGGGTGAGGGCGGATATGATAAGAGTAAGGAGAGCCATGTTTCTACGTTCTCTCTGGATTGAAACAAAATCCCTTTCAGTGATTGGGGGATGGAGATGCTCTTCCAACGCGGTGGGAATAGAGTGGATGGGGCTGTCAGGGCAATAGGTATGGGACTCAAGGCAGCATTACAGTCCCAATGGGGAGCAGAATCCAGATCCAAAGCGGACATGTGTTCCGATGTGTAAGGCACATCCGAGAGAGACTGGAGAAAGCTGTCACTCAGCTGGCTTAGCCTGGAAACACCATGTTTAAAGCAACCTGAGCCAAACTGAACATTCCAAACTGTGAAACACTCAGTATGCTTTTCCATTACCTGCTTTCACAGCGGCAAAAAGGTATTTGGTCATTTTCTATAAATTTTATTGAACATTTAAAATTAATTTTATAAAACATCAACAAATAGGACATGTATAACTGTCTTTAGCAAATGGTGAATGGTGGAATAACCCAGAAATCTGTTAGAAGTTTTAGAAAAATCTCATAGTTTGAATTAGGGTTTAAAGTCTGCTTTGCCAACAAATGAATGTAAGAGATATGTAATCCATACACTGCAAGCCTGCTGGTCAGTGACAGGAAGCTTATGAAAAATCTGAATGAACAAGCTCACGGACGTGGCAACAATTTGCACTGACTTTTAATGAATACTCTGGACTTCAGGATGTGAGTTAGAATTCAGTGAACACAAATAAATTCTATAGCATAAATGTGCCACCTGACTATATACTGATAGTGTTTTCTTTTTCTTTGAGTAAATAGTTTTTTTTTCTAGCCCCAAATTTTGGCTATGACTTTTTGATATTAATCTTGGAATCTAAACAACCCTTATAAAATATGTTTCAATGAAACTTACTGACTTGGATAGTAAGAGTGATCTAAATTTATACACAGTCCAGCAGTAAATTGAAGCCTGCCTCTATAGGTGTCCATTAACTGTGATGTCCAATAACTTGCAATAAATGCAACAGTTCTATTTTTCTTCTAAATCATCACAGGTTAGCATTTTGGCTCTACATCAAAACCAATTGATAGGGTTGTTAAGAGTGCAGACAATTGATCATCATTTCAGAGGTGAGATCCACTGGAGTCTCTGGAATCTCACTAGAGATTCTAGTGCTAGAATCACAGCTAGAACTACAAGCAAAAGGCTGTGCAATTTGTGATTCACTACATGTTGCCACAGCCAAGGCAAGTTGTTTTTTTTCTGCCTGGGTCAGAGAGAAAAAATCATCATGTTTCTGGCTGCTCCTGCAGATAGCTTCAAGGGATGGGGGCTGACCTCCCATGCAAATGAAATTCAAGATGCTTCTATCCTCACTTAACTAAACTATTTTTGCCAGAATAATTTATTTTACATTGTAAGTAAAATATGTAGCTTCGCATGGCCTCCCGTAAACCCTTTTGGGAAGCAGGCTCCATGCTTCAAAGCAGGTAGGCTCTCGAAGCATGAGACCATGAAAGCAAGAATTTATGGTTAATATATTTAATAGAAGTTGTATGGGTATTTCGGTGACATAAAAGGGCAATGTTCACTATAGCATTTTGGGATTGACAGGATAGAAACTGTAGTATTACTTTTCTCCAAGGTTTTCAATGAGGTCTATGGTCAAGGAATACACCTGGATATTCTTAGAACCTTTTAGAAATTGATATCTTACTTACGGAGATATAAGACAAGAAAGTCCCTTCCTACATTTATTTTTCCCTGAAAAATAAAGCCCCACTCTTCCCTCATAAAGTTGAATTGGCTCAATTGAAAAAAATACATCATTCAGAATGAGCCATTTGCTGATTTTAATGGGTTTTATAGTTCTTTTCTAGCATCTCACATAAAATGCCCCCTTTAGCCTGGTGTCTCTAATACATGTTTTTTAAATGCCAGCTACTAAGGGAATAGAAAGCTAGTGTCATTTTTGTATAGGCAAATGATGGTCGTGCTTTAGAAAAACTGTCCTAGTGAACATTCAAGTAAATATTAAAAATTAAATAGTCCTGCTGTGAAGGCAAGAGTACACTTTAGCCAGAAATATTAAAGTAAATGGCACTTTATTCACTTCTTAGTAGGAAATGATAAGCATTTCCTAAAGTAATAAAACTACCAACCACCTTTATTGATCTTCATAAAACAGCATGTGGCTGCCTACTAAAGCATAGGAACTCATCTAGTGAAAGCTGGCCTTGAAGACTGGGGGGTGGGCATTGAGTTCAGGACATCAAAGCAAACAAGACACTGAAATTGGAGTTCAAAGTGAAAGGAAAGAAGCTAGCCTACACCAGACCATTCACTTGTTCCTAAATTTATCCAGGAACAACAAGGTCTGTTCCAGGCACTGTGCTCCATGACTGCAAGGTTAGTATTGAGCAAAACAAACACAGTCCTTGCAAGGTAGAATTTCATAGGAAAGAAAGAGAGCACGTGCATCTGTGAATGACAAACCACTGTACATTACTGTAAAGGAAAATACAGCCAACTCTGAGAACATCGCAGGAGATGAATCTGAAAGGCCAATCAAAGAAGGACCCTTGAAAAAATAAAGTCTGCTGAGATTCAAAGGATATAAATCAGCCAAAAGTAGCCTGCTGGTGTAAGAAGAGTATTCCAGGGTAACCCTAGGTTATGTGTGCAGAAGCCCTAAGAATGGAGGGAGGGGGTTATAATCATGAACACCCCATTACAAGACTGGAAAGCCAGGAAAAAGGGAGCAAGAATTACAAAAAGAATAAAATGGAAATTTTGATCTAGAAAGTTTCTCAGAAGAAGAAAAATTCAAAGAATAACCTGTTGTGAGAGAGCTTCACTACTCATGGCTCCTTGTACCTACCTCCTTACAGAAAATAGCAGAAGCATTCACTTTGGCAACAGAAACTCAAAACAAATCAGCCAAGTGTCCTTTATAAGAATTGTGTTGAAAAAATACAATTTTTTTAATGAACAAAACATTAAAAGATCCTTAAGATGAAAAATTGAATATGGTAGTGGTTGTCAATATTTTACAAATTTACTAAAAACTGTTGAATTATACACTTTCAGTGGGTGAATTATATGGTATGTGAATTATAGCTCAATAATACTTTAATAAACAAGCTGCCATATCACCAAATTAGAAACCTGAATATTTAAAGATTATTTTCCCATAGCTTGTTTATAGGTATAAAGTAATTCCAATCAAAACCCCAAAGGGGTTTTGTTGATTTGTTTGTTGCTGAATCTTATAATATAGACATGATATAGATACAAAAAGGAAAGATCAAGAGATTTATTTTTCTAGATACTGAGATTCCTAATATCAGCAATAATAACAGGAAGCTAATATTCATTGACACGCCTATATGCTTGGCACTGTTATAAACAAAGTTGATATAGTACCTCTCCTATTAAGTGGCCATGGAAATTAAAATAATCCAAGTAAAGAAACTTGCATGGTGTCTGATACTAGGGGACTCAAAATGATAACAAAAATAGTTAAAAGTCTTATAAAAAATGAATGTCAATATTAATTATATTTATCTTGAGCAATTAACTCTCTCTCCTTCTCCCTCTCATTGTCAATGTAACCTGGGTAAATGGCTAGATTCTCTTTTTTGCAGCTAACTTCTACAGAGCTTAGAGGCAATTTTCCTGCCCACTAATAGTAGATTTATTGTCATTGTGGAAGCATTTTAACCATCCTTGCTGGCTTATATTATCACTTATTCTACTTCATCCTTGTGTAAAATTATGCTGTCTGCTATTTCATGTCACCTTTGAGGTACCTGAAATCTTTTCAAGAAGGGAACAAGCATAAATTAAGTAATGGTAAAATTAAAGAATAAGTAATATTAACAATGATTCGAAAAAGACATAAAATGAACCAACCAATGTAAAAAATATTAAACTTATCTATAATCAAAAAATGTTCATAAAAATAGCAGTGAGAGGTTATTTTTGCCTATCAAATTAGGGACCTTTTATTAATAGTTCACAGTCTTGGTGGAAACACATTAAGAACAGCACCAGCAAGCGCTGCTTTGAGGAGGGTAAATTGGTACAATATATTCAATAAATCAATTTGGCCATTTGTATCAAGAGCTTTAAAAGGGTTCATGCCCTTTCACCCTCGACTTACACTTCTAGGAACTTGTCCAAGCAAAGGAAATTAATATATGGACCGTAATTCAATGCAAAAATTCACTGCAGTCTTGCTCAAAAATAACAAAAACTTGGAAACCATGTCAATGTCTAAAAATAACACAATTAATACATTATATTCCCAT